AGAAAGTCGCGCCGCACGCGTGGCCTAGGTTTCTCACTGAAAATCCTCGTCCCTCGGCGGCACCGTTTTTTTTTGAATTATTTCCTTTTCAACGGCGTTTTTCGGGGATTTCGGATTTTTAAAAAAAATTTTCGCAATAATATTAGGAAAATAGATAACTTTTAACACATTTTAATGCAATAAAAATTTTGACCGGAGTCCCCCTTTAAAACGGCAAACGTTACTATATCGTGAGTCAGCTATTATTCGAGCTTAGGTCCGGTAGCTTGAAGAATCATGTATTTTGTAATTATTTTCTCATTTATTTTTCGATTTTTCAATAATTTTCAATCTTTATAGAAAAAGTTCAAGAGCGATCAAGTTTATAGATAAATTGAAAAAATAGGACGTAAAATATTTACGAAAAATACATACTACTTTAAGGATTCCGCTACCGGACCTAAGCTCCGCCAATTTCAGCCGCATTCAAATTAGACCAGAGTAATATCGGAACCTACAAACACAAAGGCGTTTCAGACTAGATCAAATAAACGGCCCTCTGAAATATCTTACAATCATTGATGGTCTTTCTATCAGTACCAAAAATAACGACACTGTAGTCCACAGTTTGACAGGATTTTGTATGTAACAACGAAGCAACAAGCCGATGGTTAGCATCAAAACTTCATCTCTATATGTTTCTAAATGTCCAGAAAACTTCAGATCCCAGTTTTTCTGTTCATGTTGTCAATAATAGTGAGAATATCATTCAAAAGTACGGTAATTCTACTGCAGTCATTCTCAATACTTCATTGCAAAACTATAAGGTTTCGTATTTAACTGAAATCATTCCAAATCCGGAAACAGATTTATCATTTCATTTTGGTTTTCCAACAGATGGTGTCAAAATTCAGAATACATTTTTCGAAAATCCAATTGATTTGCCTTACTATGAATACAATGGTGTGATTTACAACTATACGAGACAGTGAGTTAATGTGATATTCGGAAAAACCGACACTTGGGTTTTTCAGATTTTTCAAAACCGTAGAACCCATACAAATCAAACTTGACTACTGGTATCTAACTGCCACTGGTCCGGTTTCTATGAAAATTGGAGGTCAATTTGTTCCAAACTACAATTACACGACAGCTGCTTCAGCTACAACTGGCCTTATCATGAACAATGATAATGATATGTTTCAATAAATTTTGGAAATGTTAATGGCAGAAGCAGAATTGTTGGAACATTGGTAGGCTTCGAAAACTTGCTTTGGGTTTTTAGTTCAAAAATTTCTAGATTTCAACATTTCTATCATCAGAAAAAGAAGTAAGATTCATTTATTCCGGACACAATGGAATTGGTTATGAGCAGAGGTAGTGAACATGCAAAGTCGCTCTAAAGAGAATTTTCAGATATTCTAAATCAACACCCACAACTCATCATCTGTGGTATGACTTCTTGCAAGCATCTCAATTTATGGTTACATCTGAAAGTTCGAGTCCCGGAAAATTCTATTGCCAATATTTCATGGTTACCGGAGACTTTTTACCGACGACTACGACTTTCGGACTTTCGTCTTCTACTGATATAAGTACAGTAATCCAGACGTCTACAGTGATCCCGACTTCTAAAATTTTATCAACTTCTGAGGCGACGACTACAGTAATCACATCCACACTGGAAACTACAACAAAATCAACTGGTCAAAAGTTTTCAACATTTTTCCTAATTATGATTATTTTGCCGTTTTGTCAGCTTAAAATAAAATAGATTTTGAACACATTGTTTTCGTTCCAATTCTTCTGAAATTCTTGCATTCCTTGAACAAAATTTAACTATCTCAAAATCTGAAAAAATTAAATCAAATATCAAATTTAAGAAACCATTTATTTTTGTATAACTTAAAAGTAAGGCACATAAAAAGTGATTAAAATAAAATCCCAAATGTTTAGATAAGATTTTATAAAATATTCAAACAAAAAAAAAATATTTTCCCGTTGAGACAAAACAATATGGATGCCTAGAAGCTCGTGTGAATCGTAATACGTGGATTAGAAGACGTTCCTAACTTCTCGGAAGACTCGTACTTCTTCGTTGTTGAATTGGTGATGACGTGGCAAGCGCTGATTTGAAAACGCCTTCTTCCAGATATTGGGTGCAGAGAATTTCGCGACGATTGAAAAGTGCTAGATAGAGAACGTCTCCCTGGAAAATTTGAATTTTGATAAGACAGTATTTTTCTAAATTCTAGATTTTTGGGGAACGCTTACATGGCTTCGAATACTGAAAATCTGCAATCGAATTCGAACGTTCACTTTTCAAATCAAAACTCACTCTAGAGCAAATTCCAAGTGCTTCCTGTGGACGAACAATGTCTGGAAGTGTTACTTGTTTCAGCCGACGAACTCCTTTAACTCCGGATAAAAGTATCCAGAGTTTTCCACTCGCATAGTCAAGGATTAGCAAGTTCCCGTGCTGAAAACAAATGTTTCATTGAATTTCAAAGAATCCAATAATACCGTAACACCTGTAATAGAAGGATTCCTAAACATTAAACTTTGATCCAATTTATCTCGGTTCCTGTCAACGATATGAAAAAGTTGTCCACTGATAAATTACTTTTCATAATATCAAAAATGTTTATCAGTTGACACATTTCTTATATCTTGCAGGAGCAGAGATAATTGAGCTCCAACTTGACTGGAAAATTGATTGGAAAATTTGAGAACTTCAGGAGTTTCGAAAAATTATTATAGGGTTTTCTAGATCCAAAAAAAACTATTAAATTTAGGAAATTTAAAAAGCACTGAATTCAATATCTGAAAATCTGAAAATCCAAAAATCCGAACCTTATCAACAATTGCAGATGCTGGTGAATGAATATGCTCATTGAGCCGGTAGGTTTTGCTCAAATCGTATTCATTTATCAAACTCATCGAATGATCGATAACAAAAAGTAAAAGTCGATTGTTGGCTGCATCACAAGTCAAAAGAACCACCGCTCTGAAATCATTTTCCAAATTTCAAACCATTCCTAATGTTTTCCAACTCACTTATAATCGGCCTGATCCTCAGCCACTGTCAAATATTGATACCTAGACTTCCTCGATTCCTTCAGTAGTTTCCACGCCTTTTTACTCCTTATATATGTCCAAAGCGCACTTTTAATATTGTCTCCAGAAGTCATGAACAGGTGTCCACGCGGACCTACAGTAATCCATCTCGTCCTGCTCATCTCGATTTTTGGATCTCGCGGACAGGCGATAACTTCCACTTTTCGACAATTGGAGGCAACATCAAACACGTGGATTGATCTTCCTTTAGATTGCATTACGCTAACGTACCTGGAAATAAGATTGCTTATGATTTTCAGTTTTCCAGTTTTTCAGATTTTCACAATTTGAAATTTTAATCTTCAACGAAGAATGATAAGCCAACTCTAACGTTTCGAGAAATTTGGGGCTCAGAACTTCCAAATTCCATAAAACCCAGCTTCAGTTTTCAAATATCAGGTGACCTAGTTTTACGGAGTTTTAAAGGCTATAATGGACTAGAAATGGAAATTTGGAAAAGTTAGGCTATCAATTTTCATAGTCTAGAAATCCGCTGAGGACTTGTTCACAGTGTTTTCTGGGCCACCAAAACTTGATGACCTAACGTTCTTCTTATCGGATTTCTAGGCTATGAAAACTGATGGCCTAACTTTTTCAAAACCCGATTTCAAGTTCAAATTGATGGCCTAGAAAACTCTGTAGACTCGGCCACCTTACATGTTGAATTTAAAACTGGGGTTTTCGTGGACTAGAAACCCAAACTCTTGGTATTATTTTTTCAACTTTTAGATGAAAAATTATGAACATTTTTGAAAAAATTAATTTTTTTTCAAAACAATTTTAATGGCCCAGAAATCAGATTAGGAGAATGTTAGGCCATTGAGTTTGGTGGACTAGAAAACTCAGCGAACGAGTTTTCTAGGTCACCAAAATTTGAGAGCCTAACTTTTCTCAAAATCCAGTTTTCTAGGCCATTAATTTTAATCACCTCGAGTGGCTAGATAATAGCTAAATATCTCGGTTTTCGAAAATTGAAAAGGTTCCAAAGTTCTGAATTTTCATAAAAGTCCATTTTCTGCTCTTCTGTCTACGTACTAGCCGAAAACATTTCGATTTTCAATCATTTTCTCAAGTAGACAAAAAAGGGAAAAGGTCTTCAGAATCCCTCTTCAAATCCCATCTTATTTTGCTCTTTGAAGTGCGAACATGAGATCTTTACTTTTTTCTAATTATTTTTGTTCCCTTTCTGCGAAATCTAAATTTTTGAATCCCCGAACTCACATCAACTCATTCTTCTCATCGACACAAACCGAGCTGGCCGACGAGTTTTTTATCAGTATATTTTGCTCGATTTCCCCTCGAGAATTTGTAATGTAGACCCCTGAAGAGAATTATTGTTCGTAAATTACTTTGTTTATCGAATTACCTCCACAACTATCCGTCACTGCTAATTTATTTGGCTTCGATTGAGTGCTGAATGCCTCCACACAAATTGGACGTGTCAGGTAACTTTTTCCGAAACAAAACGACGATGTTTCGTCTTCCTCGCGTGGTGTGGGAGTGATTGAAGAACTCTGTAACTGAGATTTTTGTAATGAAGAAGTCGTTCTGTGAATCGGGATGTCCGGATGTCCACAAGGGCAAAAAATCAGGTTATAGTTGACCAGTAACATTCAAAAGTTAAAAGAAGACCCCCAAAGGTAGCTAAAAGGCAACTAACATATTTCCCCCATAGTTCTGCCCAAACACTCACCAAAATACTAATTGCATGAGAGTTGTAATCCGATAACGGGGGCAATGACGATACATTGGATGGTCTTGTATCCACAGTACAAATACTACTAGAAGACACGGATCCCAGTCGTGGAGCCTCTTCCAATGGTATCGATTTCTCTCGGAATGAGCTCACATACGGTCCTTCTCGAACGAAACGAGAAACTGACGAGTCGACACTGCAGCCACGTCTTCTGTCTTCGATTACTGACATGTTGTCACTACGGGCACTGCAAACCAATGTGCGATTGATTTTCAGTAATCAGAATGTGCAGAAAGACCACAAACTACAAAACTCACTCATTAACTTGAACCGGCACAATTCCTATACTTTCACAAATGAACAGACTCATGAGACGGGCGTCCCAGTCTGTTGAACTTTTGATTTCCGGAACATCAGATTCGGCTATTGAGTGGCGGGGGAGACGCATGATATCCGCTGTCATATCAAGCACTTTTTGCATTCTAAAAGTCAAAAAAGATTTTTTTGGATGTGTAAAATGTACCGTATTTGCTCTAATAGAAGTTCACCCTATGCATGCACTTTGAGCTCAATTATCAGGGTTTCTTCAAAAGATATCAATAAGTTTTCAACTGATGAATTTGTTATCACAATAACACCAATGTTTTCTCAATTGGCAAATTGTCGATATCTCTCCTAGCAATTGAGATAAATTGACTCACATCAAAGTTGAAAGGTAAGGGGCCCTTCCGGTTTTACGGTATATCCCATAGGTCTTGAAGCCTAACACTTCCGTAAGATCGTTCAGACTCACTTTGTCGGATCCGACACATCCAGATTCCAAGTTTTCCACGCTGGCCTTGACGGCGACGGGACATGATAGATTGATGGTCGTTCATCCCTTGAATCGATGTTGATCAGTTCCCGATTCAATCTAGAAATCAGTCGTCGATCCGGTTCATTTCTTCGTTCCACATATCCAGATAGCTCATTCAACAAAATCACTTCTATTTTTGCGACGAGTTGTTTCACTGCCATTTTCTGTTGATGCGCATATTCGCTCCGTCGAGAACATCGACCTTCGAGTGCTTGGACACAGGATCTGGAAGAATTTGGGATAGCGGGTCTATCGAAAAGGTTTTTTAGAACTCTAGGCAACGGCATTAGCTCTCAGCCTATTCTTATGGGATACCTGTTTTTGAGTACCACCCATGTAATTTCTAAGTACAGCAGGTCAAAGACCTGAAAAGAAAAAAACAGCAAAAGAAGAAAATCGGAAATCCATTGTTTTTCTTCCTTCTATTCTTAAACCTTCCAAAAAAATGGTCATAAGAGGGTGGGGGTCATTCGAGTTCAGTGAAGCAGCTCATAGAGCATAAGGAAAAAAAAGTAGAAAAAAGAAGTAAGAAGAAGACTGAAGAATAGGTAAGAAGGGAGACTTACCTCAAAACTTCCTGCTCTTTCCATTCGTTGCTCCGGTGCTCACTGTGCCCTTTTAGTAGATGACATTGTCTGGAATTTGATTCGGTTGTGACTTTTAAATTTGATTTTTGCGTTTAGCATTTTTGGACATCCGGATAAACAGACACACATTCTAGAAGTTTTGAACAGCGCTCTCTTATTGCCGCTAGGCGTTACCTTTGAGCTCAATTATCTCATTTCCCATAAAAGATATTAAAATTTTGTCAACTAATAAAATGTAGCTGATAATATGATACATATTTTATCAGTTGACAAACCTTTCATATCTCTTATGGCAACCTAGATAATTGAGCAAGTATAAGGTGGGCTTTTATTATATTGGAGAATTTAAGGTGGACCTCAAAATTTCAAGTTTCGGAAATTTTTGGATCTTAAAATTTTCAAGTCTAGAGTTTTGAAATCTAATTTTCTGTCTTTAATCAAACAATATGATTGATTTAATAGGAATAAAAATGGCAAATCCCATCTCAATTTGATTCATTTAAGTTTTCAATTCGCTTCTCTCCAGACCATTAAATTTCAATCAATTCTGTCACTTTTCCCAAATCCTCCTCCCAATAATTTTCCTGAGCCCTCGCCACAATTTCCATTTTTGTCTTTTAATTATGCAAACTTTTCCCCCTAGTTTTTCGATTCCTATTTTTTTTCCGCCTTGAGGGCTAAAGGGATTACGGATTTGTCTTCTTCTTCTTCTTAAGTCAACGTCTTCAGAAGCGCGCCAACGTCTTCTAAATCTCCAGAAAAAGATGGAGAAGTGCTTGCGTTTTTGCCAGTAAATGAATTATGCATTGCAGTAGTAGTACATTTAGACGAAGACCTCTCACTTTCTCGTTTTGCAAAAACAGCGAGGATTTCTGATTTTTACTGTAACGCCTTCTTTCTAATTAGATTCAGAAGGTTCAGAAGACGTGCACCTCAGTGGTTAATGCGACATTTGGAGATGTACAATCTTCCATTTCATTTAAAATGAGCTGAGCACTTTTTTATTGTTTCCAGGTGTTTGGTTTTTAGTTTTTCGTCTTATTTTTTGTTAAAAATTCAGATCTCAAGTCAAGTAGAAATCATTCAGAAAAATAGAACTCAAGATCGCTGAAGCTGAAAAAACTTCTGAATATTTCGAATGACTTATTATTTATTTTCAGCATTTTTCCAGTTGCTGGTGAATTCAAGCCCGAATTTTTAGAATTTCAGAATTTTAGAATTTCAGAATTTGTTTAAACCAGAAAATTCAAAGAAACCTCTATAATAATAATAATTTATTGATTCTGGACTATCAGTCACTTATAAAATCAATGTGTTACAAATTAAACAAATGAGTTAGAAATTATGTTCGTCTAGGAACAGGAAAGAAGATAAGAAATCAAGGGTGGGAACACGGTTTTTGGAAGCGAGTTCCGGCAGGATATAATACGGAGAGTAAGAAATTGAGCAGAAAGTTTTGAAGCATTTTTTAATGTACAGCGAATGTAATATGGGTGGCGTCTTAGATGATTATGATGAAACGGGACAATGAATAGAATATGGGCAATTAATTGCAATTTCCCGGGAAACTAGAGTTTTATACATAAAAACTAGATCGGATAGAAGTCTATTTGCCTATGAAACTTTGTTTTAAGAACCTATTTGTGTTATTTTGAGAAACTTCAAGAACCGAACATTGATCTTAAATAGCTTTGGTTTTTGAAAATTCACTGGATCTTGAAAATTTGTTTTTGAGTTATTTGAATTAGAGTTTGTCAATATTTAGAGTTGTTATTTTTCAAAAATCTCAAAAATGTCGCTTTCTCTCCAAATTCATAACGATTCCTAGAAACCAACTTATTCTAATTAAATGTTTCTTCTTCTTCCTCTTCTCCTATTCAAATGACCAAAAAAAGAGAAATTTAGAAAAATTAGAATTACTCTCTCCCTATTCTCTCTAACCAATATGATTTATATATTATTCACTAAAACCCGAAAAAAAGAAGAAGAAGAAGAACCTGTCAAATGCATTTGGTGTCATCAGTAGATAGGAGAAGAATGAATAACATACAGAAACAACTGACCACTACTCTTCTGGGGGAAAAGAAGAAGAAGAACAAAAAAGAAGAATTCGTGTTTTCCGGTTGCCATCCACATTTTTGCTCCCCGAGCAACCAGAAGAGGGTGGTGTTCTAATTTTCTACTTTTTGGTCTCTTTAGCTAGCTTTTTGACCTACTTTTGATATGAAAATAGTTTCCAGAGCTAGGAAAAATTATTCGAGCTACTCTTTAGCTATAGCTTATTTTAATATAATCAAAAGCGCGTCTTTTGGCTCTATTTAGGCATGATTTCACTCTAATAAAAATTAATTTCTATCAATCTCGAACTTCCAGAAATGCTCTTTTTTCTTCTTCTCGTCATTCTTTGTCCTTTTCTAGCTTCCCCTACATTTTCTCTTCATTTCATTATCTTCGATTTTTGATTCACCAACTTTATGCAACTAATTTGACAAAATAATTTTTATTTCTAATTTCTCTGTATGTTCATTTCTTTCTGTACTTGATAGTGAAATTTAGAAGTTTTTGGGAATTTAATTAGGCAATTCTGTAATTCCAAGGTTCTAATTTTCTGATTTTTCAAAATTTTGAGAATTGGAGATCCCTAGATTCCAAATTTCGCTGAATTCAGTTTCTAAAGATTAAGAGATTTTGAGTATTCTGGACCACAAGGTTTAGGAATTCGTGGATATCATGTTGCTCAGAAAATGTGTTAGCATCTAATAAACGAAAAAGTCCTTTAAGTTTATGGATCTCAAAGTGTAAACCGAATTTCCATAATAAACAAATCCGGAGGAAAAATTTTCTGATTTTCATTCTAAGACCTCTTAATTTTTAGAATATTACTTTCACTTACTTCAAAAAGTCGCAACCTACAGTACCGCAAAAAAATTATACCATGTTTGCTCGAACCGGCTCAAAGCACACGTATAGGATGGGCACCCGAAAAGTCCAAAAAAGCTACACATGTTTTTTATCCAGTGCCGTAAGTATTCTAGCTTCTGCTCAACTGTTCCAAAAGTCTAGGAGATCAATACTACTTTTTCTGACCTACTTTTTCCTTCCCAAGTGCGACTGCAAAAGTGTATCCCTCCCCTATCCGTTACCAACGTCATTGGCGCCTTTTCTATCTGCTCTGTGTCAATTAACGAAAACATGTGTGTTCTCGTGTTCGAAATGAGTACCCCTTGTCTCGTTTTCTCATATCAATAGCTTCCCTAAAAACACACAGTGCCTCACTTTCTCTCTGAGATTCCGCTTCTCTCTCTCTCTCTCTCTCTCTCTCTCTCTCTCTCTCTCTCTCTCTCTCTCGGGAGAGAAAAGAATATATACCTAGAGTGTTATGTAAATACAACCACAAATATATCTTTTACTTTTCCCTTCATCTCATCACCCAATTCTCAATTTCTTGTCTCGCTTTCAATATCATTTTCTCTTTTTCTAATTTTTTTCAATTTCGGCTCATGTCAACTTGTCACACATATTTTCTAATTAAAGTAGTTCTTAGAAATATTCAGGAGGCATCAGGAAGGTCTTCTGAAAAAAAAACTCACTGAATCGAGTTTTGGAACTACCGTATTTTCTCTAATAGAAGCCCACCCCATACGTGCACTTTAAGCTCACAAGGGAAGGTTTTTTAGACAACGGTTGAGAATTTGCTCAAAATTTGCATACTTATAATTTAAGACATGCTCTATACGATGACGAAAAAATTTTTAGCCCGTTCTCACTCCCAGGCCGAAAAACTTTGTCTGAAATTTTGGGCCGTTTTCCGTGCGCTGGGGATTTCGGCTTCCCCTTCCCTCCTCTACCAATTCCGCGTGAGAAGAAAAAATCGGTTGTGTGATGTACAACGTTGTGGTAAGAGGGTGGCTCATTAGGATTGACTATGCTGGTTCGACCCCCACTGTGGTAAACCTTTTTTTGCAATTTTTGAAACTAATTTTTGATTCCAAGTTTGCCCCCCTAGGCACTATATGACACTTTTTGATTAATTTCAAAAGTTTTCAAAGAAAAAAAGATTTCATGAGAGTTTGAGGAAAAAATAGATAATGGTCTTTTCGACCGGTTCTTACATCCTCGTATCGTTAAAAACGAAAATTTCAGTCTCTGAAAGTTGCTCAGTTTTGCTCTTTTTGAGGTGGAGTACTGTTAAATCGGTCACATACAATATTCGAACCTATTTCTATAGGTTTCAGTGAATTTCAAGCGATATTTCAGAAATTAGGGACTGTCAAAGTTCTAACAACAATCAGATTTTGGAGATTTTTTGAGCCCAAAGACAACATTGGGCTGAAAAATCTGTCAGAATGCTATTTTTATCGTTTCTGAATAATTGGAACATTTTTTAAAACATTTTTTAAAAAATCACTTTTGCAGTGTGGGGGACCCCATGGCGATTTTTTCAAAAATTTTCAAAAAAAAAGTTTTTTTTTGAAAATGTTCACAAACTGTTTCAGAAGATAGAAAAATGTTAAAAAATGAGTATCGCTCTCAAGAAAATCCTGAATAGCTAATTTTTAACCTCGAAAAATGCATGTTTTGGTCAAATTTTAGTACTGAAATCACTTTCAGAGGCCATATTTCGGCTCCTTTTGAGAACGGGCTGAAAATTTTTTTGGATTCGGATTCAGCATGTTCGAAAGTACCTTTGTACAAATTTTTAGCACATTCTCAACCGTTGTCTAAAAAACCTTGTCAATTATCTCGGTTCGTATAAGAGATATCGAAAATCTGTAAACTGATAAAATATTGGCGATATTATGATAAACAATTTATCAGTTGACACATTTTAAATATCTCTCAAAAAAACCTGGATAATTAAAAAAGTACTGTACCTAAAGTCCTAAATTCAGAAAAATGCTTTAGTTTCTGGCCAGGTCTAGGTGGTCTATTGACATCATTTAGAATTGACATCATCTAGAATTTTCACTTTTTTTGGACATTGAAACGGATCAGTTTTCAAGTTTTTGAGCAAAAAACTTTTTTCATTACTATATTTTCATGCGTTCAAATTTCAGTCATAAGAAAGTACCGTAAAGCCTGTAATAGAAGGGCCCCCACACAACCAGGTTCCAGCTAATTTTTTTTGGTTCTTGTCGATATCAAAATGTTGCCAACTGATAAAATGTTTGCGATATTACGATAATCAGTTTACCAATGTACAACTTTTTCAAATCTTTTACAGGAACCGAGATAATTTAACTCAAAGTTAAAAGATAGGAGCCCTTTTATTACAGGCTTGTTTCTAAGATTCTTAAATGTGAATCCTTGAGAATCTCCCAATCAGAATTTGAAGAACTCGAAAATTCTGAATCTCAACAACTCGAAAGTTTGAGATCTTCAAATTATAGAAATCCCCTAATTTCTGATTAAAGGATTTTCGGAACGCATTCTCAAAAACCGAATTCGCGAAATTCTCAGAATTTTCAATTATAAAAAAAAACCCATTCAAAATTCCGAATTTTTTCGCCCACCCAAAAAAATCTTCGAATTTCGTCGTCGCTCTCCAAAGATGAGAAACCATCGAGAAAGCAAAAAAGAGGAAATCCTAATTTAATAATTTTCCATCTTCTTCTCGTTTTTTTCTTTTTCTACCAAAAATCTGATTCTGAATCCCAAAGCTTCTTTTTCTTTTTCTCGATATTTTCCAACTCAGAAGTGAGAAAAAGAAAATATTTGGGAGAATAAGGGAAAGAAGAGAAATCGGATACGTCTTCTCGCATTTCGAAACGACGCCGCCACAAGTTTTCTCTGGAACCATGTCCATCCTTGTCCTTCTTCCAATGAAAAAAGGTGTACATATCCAGAAAGGAAATAAGGTCGGTGAGTGTATATGTGTCAACTTGTCATTTTTCTTTTTTTCGGCTCATTGTGTTTTTTCTCTCTAGGTTTTCATATTTGTCAGAATTTGGAATTTCCCCCACCCGCCTACCCCGCATCTTGGGACAACAAATGATTGAATAATAATGAAGGACATGTGAGGGTCACATTTTCAGAAATTTCGTTCAATTTTTAGAGTCTGGTAAGATTCTAAAATCTCATCCAAGACATTTTTGAGGTGTGCCATAGGTTTGACATTTCGAAAGTCAGAATTCGAAATTTTGCGATCTGAAATTTGAAAATTTTGAGGTTTTGGGATTTTGACATTCTGGAATTTAAAAATCCGAAGATTTGAAATCGCTAGATTCTTAAATTAGGAAGATCCGAAGTTTCGGGATCCCGAAAATTTGATATTCCGAAATTCTGAATTTTCGGGATTACGAAATTCGGAAATTTGGGAATTCTGAAGTTTCGTGATCACGATATTTTGAGATTATGAGAATCTAGAGGACTATTAATAACAGGTTATTCGAATTTTTGAGTTTTTTTTGAATTTTATAAATTTTTGAATATTTCAAGTTTTTGCATTTTTCGAACTTTTCAAATTTCAAACGGTTTTTTCCCTATTTTTATGATAAAAACAAGGAAAAAAAACTCGAATTTGTTCAAACCCAAATTTTTTTTGCGAAATTATCACATTTGTCTTTTTTTTGAAGTTCTTCAAAAATCAGAATCACATGACAAGAAGATCAATCCCAACTGATTTATTTTTCTTCAACTTCTCTTTCCAATCGTTTTTTTCTCCCATAAAAGTTCATTTAACCCCCAATTCTTCGCTTTTTCTCTAATTCTCTTTACCTCTCACACTATTTTCTTATCACTAATTTCCTCTAATTACTCTTCTTTTTCTTCTCATACATTCCACTTCCCCGTCTTCTTCGTCTTCCGAATTCTGAATGGACGACAAATTTTCAGTGAAACCAAAACCACCATCAAAAAATGCAATTATGACTTTGTTGTCGTATTTAATAATCCATCATCAACTGCTCCTCTTTCTAATGGTTCCTGTTGGAATTCGAGGGGAGTACAGTATGCGATCGGAGCAGGAGATTCTGAATACGTTGCTCAAAAACTATGATATGCGGGTGAGACCTCCTCCAGTCAACACATCGACCGAGGGAGCTGTCAATGTTCGAGTCAATATTATGATTCGAATGCTATCCAAAATTGATGTTGTTAATATGGTAAGTCTCTAATCAGGATGTTAGCCTGAATATGAAATGTTTTGAAATGTTGAAAATACAGTTTATTCTATTTTTAGTTGAAAAACGGCCAACTTTGAATGCCTACAAAACATAGTACTTAATTTCTGAATTGTTGGAAATAGTTCATAATGTACTAAACAAAACTAGAGGTTCAATTTTGTAGCTTGCAAGTTTTATATACGAATGCATCCAAATGAGATATACCGCTTCAAAGAATCATGATTCAGAAGTCAGAGCTAGTTCGAAATTTTCAGACTGACCCAAGTTTGAACGTTCGATAGATGGAACTATAAAATTTGGTGGCCTGAAAACTCACCTTGCAATAGTTAGGAGACACCAAATAACCTAGAAACCACATCAGGCGTTTTAGCCCATTTAAAGTGGGGGCCTAGAAAACTCAACTTGCACAAGTTAGGCCACCTTGGCCTAGAAAGCACACCAAGGGAATATCAGGCCATTACTATCATGGTGGTCTAAAAAAATCATTGTGATTCGTTCTAATTTGTTTCGTTTTTAATTTCAGGAATACTCAATTCAGTTAACATTCCGTGAGGAATGGACGGACCCTCGATTAGCTTATGAACACTTGGGATTCTACAATCCACCGGCATTTCTAACAGTACCTCATGTCAAGAAGAGTCTATGGATTCCTGACACTTTCTTCCCGGTGAGTTTCTGGGTACTTCCGAACAAGGCTGATCAAAATGAAAGCCGGGCACAAGGAAGTTCCAAATGAGGATTTGAAAAAAAGAAAATTTCAGACGGAAAAAGCGGCCCATCGTCATTTGATAGACATGGAGAACATGTTTCTAAGGATACACCCAGATGGAAAAGTTCGTCTCGGGAATTAAGTTTTCTTAATCCAAAAAATCATGCCTTTTTAGGTCCTCTACAGTTCTCGTATCAGTTTGACGTCTTCGTGCCCAATGCGTCTACAATTATATCCTCTAGACTATCAATCTTGTAATTTTGACATGGTCAGCTATGCACACACTATGAATGACATTATGTACGAATGGGATCCGGTGAAGCCGGTGCAAGTGAAACCTGGCGTCGGATCGGATCTTCCGAATTTCGTTCTGGAGAATATCACAACGAATACGGACTGTACAAGTCATACAAATACAGGTCAGAGTGAATTTCAGATTTTAAAATACAGGGTGGCGATAAGTTACCCAAACTCAAAGTTGATCTATTATTTTGAAAATTGACCCGATTGCTGATCAATTATTTTAATGTTTGCACTCCAAATTTTGTGTTACTACAAACTTGATAATTATGCTCCACCCTGTACGGGAACTATTAATGTTTTCTGCACTTCATCACGTAGAAAGGTTTTTTGAACCTACATAAATTTCGAGATGCTCCAAAAATTCCAAGAAGGATTAATTTTTGGAAGTTTTAACCCAACTGAATAAATCCATGTGAGAAGTTTCTCATGAATGCATTTTCGGCATCAGATTTTCTATGTTCGATCATTCAAAAACATAAATTTTTGCAGGATCCTATGGTTGTCTCCGAATGAATCTTCTTCTCAAAAGACAATTCAGTTACTATCTAGTCCAGTTGTATGCTCCTACCACAATGATCGTCATCGTCTCATGGGTATCATTTTGGATTGATCTACATTCGACGGCGGGAAGAGTGGCTCTAGGAGTAACTACATTGCTCACCATGACAACTATGGTAATTGATTAGAGCGAACTTGCCGAATTCTAATTCTCCAATCTCAAATTTCCAGCAATCCGCAATAAACGCAAAACTACCTCCAGTCAGTTATGTAAAAGTCGTCGATGTTTGGTTGGGAGGTATTACCATAACCACTACAGTAACCCAATAATATCTTTCAGCGTGCCAAGCATTTGTATTCGGCGCCTTGTTGGAATACGCGTTTGTTAGTTATCAGGATAGTGCTCGGCAGAACGATAGGGCAAGGGAAAAAGCGGCTAGGAAAGCTCAAAGAAGGAGGGAAAAGCTGGAAATGGTGGATGCGGAAGTTTATCAGCCACCATGTACCTGTCATACTGTAAGTTGGAAATTTGGTTTGCGTATTTTTAAATCACAAGATTTTAAAATTCTACATAGAAAATCCAAACAATTTCCAGTTAACGTAAAACCTGTAATAAAAAGGCACCCAACCGTCCACTGACCCTATATATCTCGGTTCCAGTGAAAGATATCTGAAATATGACAACTGATAAAATTTTGGTTATATAACGATAAACAATTTATTAGTTGACAATTTTTTGATATCTTTGACAAGAACTGAAATAAATTGGCTCAAAGTTTGGGGCCCCTCTATCACAAGTTTTAGGGTAAGCAACTTTTAAACAATTTATCTCGTCTATTTTAAAAGATAACAAGTGTTTGTCAACTAATGAAATGCTGCTGACATTATGACACACATTTTATCACTTTTTTTTCAGTTCGAGGCACGAGAAACATTCCGCGACAAGCTGCGTCGCTACTTTACCAAACCCGACTATCTACCCGCGAAAATCGATTTCTATGCTCGATTCGTGGTCCCGCTTGCCTTTCTTGCATTCAATATCATCTACTGGGTATCCTGTCTCATCATGTCTGCCAATGCTTCCACTCCAGAGTCTCTCGTTTAGAACTTTTTAGCTTTTTTTGTCAATTTTTACACATACCCGGAAAAGTTCTCTCTGTCTTCTTCTCAATTTTGTAAATATCATCTCGTTTTACCGGTATAACTTTTTTGAAAACAAATGTTGATGTTCAATAAACAATTGTCTGATTACCGGATGTCCAATACATCGCCTTTTCTAAAAAATCGAAACTCACTTGCAAACAGTTGAAATACAATCCCGACACCACCAAAGTTCGACGATGTGCTCATTTGAGTTGGAATTCGAAGACGACGGTTTTGAAATTGATGACTGATTGATATCCACTTGTTTTCCACACTCATCACAATCTACGAGCATTTTTGCATATCTGAAATTGGTGAATTTCAGTTGCAAGATTTTTTTGTTCAGAAAAAAAGGAAGAAAATAGAAAAAAGAAGCTGAAAAAAAGAGAGAAAAAACAATCAAAAAATTTTCAATTTTCCGAAGTTACCGCAAAACCTGTAATAAAAGGGCCCCGCCTGTCAACATTGAGCCTTATTATCTCGATTCTTATACAAGACATAAAAAATGTGTCAACTGATAAAACGTTGGTGAGATTATGATAAACATTTTATTAGTTGACACATTATGGAAAGCTCTTATAGAAAATGAGATAATTGAGCTGAAAGTGCAAATTTAGGGTGGCATTCTTTTAGTTACGGTAGGTAAGAAAAGAAAAAATAAACTTAAAAAGGATAAAAACATACAATAAACAAAAGTTTGAAAGAAAAAATTTAAAATATTGAAAAATTGGGTTTATAAAGTCATGAAACAGGAAAACGTTGCGAGAACATAGTAAACAGAAATACAGAAAAAATGGAGAAGAATGTTATAGTTTGTTTGTTTGTATACTTTTTGTTATATAGTAAAAGTTACATTCAATAAATTGAACCACATTGAGGTAGAAAAACATTTCGAAATTGGATACAGGAATTTTTTGACCCAAAATTCAGTTTAACTGAACGAAATCTACTGTTAACACTACAATAGAATGACTCCAGTAATATTTAACTTCGAGCCAATTTAACTCGGTATCTGTCAAAGATTTAAAAATGTTGTCAATTGATAAACTGTTTACTAGAATATCACAAAAGTGTTATCAATTAATACATTTTTCATAATATTATCTTGCAGAGGAGCCAAAAAATATCAGCTCAAACTTGACAGTGCGGGGGTCCTTCTATTAGAGGTCTTACGGTGAACAAAATCTAGTTTTCGAGATGAAAAATGTCTAGAAATCATTCGGAAATAATATTGAATTTCTGCTAAAACTATTTTGCTAGATCCTTATAATGTGCTATTCCGTTCAATTTTCTTCTTTAAAAATTGAACATTTGAAATCCAAAAATCCCGAAATTCTAAAACTCGAAAATCTCAAAACTTTGAAATTCAAAAATTTTGGAATTCCGAAATTCCGAAATTTGAAAATTATTCTGATAATTTTGGATGACTACTAGGTGCTACAATTTCATAACTTAAATTAAATTTCTAGAAATTTTTCCAATGGGACAAAACAGATTATATTTCGTAATAGAGAAAAATCATGTGGGTTTGTTAAGGTGGTAAAGGATAATTTTGAGAATTCGAGTTCCCAAAAATTCTTGTGTTGTTGAAAATGAACACTAAAAATTGAAAAAGCTCTCTAGGGATATTTAAAAGATTTTTTGGAATTTTGTTGATTTTTCGGTCATTTCGTGACTGTAAAAAAACACAAAAAAAGAAAAACACTAAAACTGATTCCATGTTTCCTTTCTTTTGGATGCTTTTTTTCCCAAAAATCACACCGATAAAAAAAAAGAAAGAAACAAAGAAAAACTTCAACACCTATCGAAAAACGAAACAAAAAGACAGAACTGGTTGTACTAAAATAGAAAAAATCGAAGATGAAAATGCATTATTCAAATGAGTGGAATCGTTAAAATGGACACATAAAATCGGTTGAAAAAAACCATGTGATAGGAGAAAAAAGAAGATTTAAAAAAATGACATTTTGCTAATCCAATTAAAATTCCCTTCCGATTTTTAATGGGTTTGGGTTTTCTTTGTGATAAGAGAGAAACTGTTTGCAAGGGAATTCAGAAGTTAGAATTTGAAAGTTCAAAAAACAGAAGGCTGAACATTTTCAGAATTTCAGAGTTTTCAGAATTTTAGAATTTTCCGGATTTCAAAATTTCAAAATTTCAGGATTTCGAGATTTCAGAATGTCAATATTATATTTGAATTTCAGGACTTACAAAATTTAAATAGCCCAAATTTTTCAAATCTATGAATTCCAAAGTTTCAGAAATTCTAAAAATCGGAGAATGGAATTTCGAAAGTTCGTAAAATCGGAAATTTGGCAATTTCTAAAATTCAGGAAATTCAGAAAATCAGAAAATCGGAAAATGAAAATTCGAAGATTTGGAAAATCTGACATTAAAAAATTTTGAAATTTAGAAATTCAGTAATTCAAATGTATGAGTACAGAAATCAAAAATCAAAAAACGAAAAAATTGAATTTCGGCCAAATATGTTCAGAATTTCAAAATTTGAAAAACCGTTGAATTTGAAATGTTTATCGTAAAATTTAACAGTTTTTTGGAGTTCGAGATATAAGTTTGAAAGAAAATTATATAGAATTCAAAATATTTGTATTCCGAAATCTTGACCAAGAAAAACTTTCAATAAAACAAGAAAAGTCCTATAAGAATTTTCGAAAAGTTCAGTTCAATTCAAAAAAAGAGACTAGAGCCTACATTTCAATAGAATCAACTCTCTCGTTTTTTTTTTCCAATTTTCCAATTTTCTACGGGCAGTCTCTAAAAAAGTGTTGCTTCTCTACAAACTGAAAACATTTCAAACGAGGACGTAACCACTTTTCTTTTTTTTCGACAAAAAATTGAATAAGAAAGTACTGAAAAAAACGAAATGGAGGGAGAAGAAGAGGAGATGGGAAAATGAATAAAATATCGGAGAGTAAGACTGGAAATTTGAGAAAAAGACCTAGAAAAATGGAAGAGATGAATGGAACATGTACTATTTTGAGGTGCAAATGTTCGAAAAAAACGAATTCTTATACAAAATAATGTAATTCTAGAGAAATTAGATCTCTTCAATATTCTGATTTTCACAATCTAGAAACATGAAGTTTCAACGTTTGAGAATTGACGAAATTTCCAAGTCAATTATCCGAACTGATAAGAACGGGTATATTTTCAGACATAAAGCACGAAAATTGGCAAAAATATAATTTTACGTTTGATTCCAAGCTACTGAAACTTTCAAAGCGATTCCTCGAGTCTGGGTATTGTCATGCTTGTCCAAAGATGAGTAATGTTTCGTGAACACCGTTGTGATTTCTATAAGATGGCACAATTTTGACAAGCGATAACTCAGCTCAAAGATGTCACCCAATAAGAAAAAGCTCTTGATTTATATACAAAAAACTAAAATCAAAGAGACCGAAAATAAGTTTTGTACTTTCATAAACTACGTTGGTGAGGTAATAAGTGGTATACATATGATCCGTTCAAGAGATAACCGATTAGGAAATCGTTCGGAAAAAGAAAAGAAAAAGAAAAAGAATATGTGAATGCATAATTACACCTGACTTGTTTCTGATTGAAAGGGACACATTTGATAGGTAATCCTTTAATTGGAAAGACGAAAATCAGAAGAAATAAACGAAAAAAAAAACTTTAATTTCGTAAATTTGAAGTTTGACAATTGAAATTTCAAAAAAATGTCTTCCTAAAGTACTAAAATACAGAAAAGACTTCAAGAGAAGCCCACCCAAATCGTCAACTTTGAGCTCATTATCACTATTCCTGTGAGCGATATTAAGATTTGTTGAATTGATAAAATATTGGTGATGTTATGATAAGCATTTCATCAGTTGACAACTTTTTTATATTTTGCATGGGAGTTGAGATATCTGAGCTCAAAATTTACGGTTTGGGTGAGCTTCTATCAGAGGAAACACGGTAGATCCATCAGAAGAAAAGGAATGTTGATAGAAAATTTAGAACCTTTAAGTAATTTCGAATTGTCCATTTCAAATTATTTTCCAGGCACTTCTTCTAATTCAGAGAACAGGTGGAATTTTTATACAAGTTATTTAGCTGAATAATTGATCACCGCTCATAATATGTTCGGTTGAGAGAGAACTTTCGAAATCATTTGGAAAACGGAAAAATTAGATTTTCTAGTGAAAACTAACACATCGTTATTTTTGTCTCCCAAACAAAAATCAAGAATGTTAGTATGAATATATTAATGTGTATGCACACACAAACATTCGTCTTCTTCTCGACAATTTTTCTCCTCTGATAACTTTACACTCACTTTTCAAAGTCTGATGGATGGAGATGGACAGAGAAATGAAAAGAAGAAGAAAAGGGGAATATCCGATTTCAGTAAATCAAATGTGATAATTTATCATCTGGGGAAAAACCAGGGAGGATATAGTTTATTAGTGAGAAAAAAAAACAAAACTTTGAAAGTTACCGCTCTAGTAGAAGTCCACCCTATCTGTACACTTCGAGCTCAATTATCTCGGTTCCTATAAGAGATATCAAAAATCTGTGAACTGATAAAAATATTGGTGATATTTTGGCAAACATTTTATCAGGTGAAAACTTTTTATATCTTTGACAGGAGTCGAGATGAATTGGTTCAAAGTTAGGTGGTGCTTCTTTCAGAACCAATACGGTAGGTTCTGTTTTTGCTTTCCAAAATGGAACTATAGAATTTTAAGAATCATACGACTTCTAAGCTACTGTGATTAAAACATCTTTTACAGTAAGAAACACAATGAAATTCGTAATCAGAGAAAAAGAAATTTATATAGGCAATTATATGACGGAACGGCTAGACAAGATATCTGGTTTTGCAAAGAGAGGAATTTGTTTTTATAAAATGGTCTAGAAGCTTCTGCAGAATTGAAAAAAGTTGAAGATCAGATAGAAGAATATTTCAAAGAAAACATATTTTTGAGAAATTTCAATGGAACATTTGGCGGCAAACTTGAAAGGAAGGGAGGAGGGCGATTATGATAAAGCACTATTTTGAGAAATAATTACAACTTTTTTCCAGGGAAAATGGTCTAGTTTGGAAAGTGTAAGAGGACTGGGGAAAAATTGAATTTTCATAAAATTGGAATTGAAACAAAAAGATTTTCAGAATGTCTAAGGTGGACCTGAAAAATCTTATAGACATTTGAATTTAATACTTTTCGAACATTTTGAAAAAAAAACAATTTTTGTCTATGACGAAAAAAAGTCTGGACAAAAAAATTAAATAGAAAAAATGAA